TTTCCCTCAGGAATACAAACAGAAGCTTGCTCGGGTAACCCAGGTCCGCAAGGAGCTGAAGTCCCACATCCAGAGCCTTCCAGATCTGTCCCTGCTGCCCAATGTCACAGGAGGTCTGGCACCTCTGCCGTCTGCTGGTGACCTGTTTTCAACAGACTAGAATGAACCGTGTCCCTGGTGTCCGTTATTACCAGCAGAAGTAAGAAGACTCTGGTGTTGACTGGGCATCCAGTCTTCCAAGATCTACTGTAGGAAGGAACTTGCAGACCCTGCTTTAACCTCTCGGCTGCTCGTGCTTCCCCTCTCTCTGGGTACACTGGCTCACGTGGAGAGAAGGGAAAGGAGCGAGTTTTTGTGAGCTCTGAAGGGAGTCGGGATAGTCCGCATAGGCAAACTTTTCTCATATTTTTCCATACTCTTTAGTTGCTGTTTGCTCTTATCTCTTGTTACCCCCCCCGAAACTCATGAGAATCATGTACATTCATACCTGGAAAGCTTTCAAAGAAAGGTTGACCGTATAACATTTTTCTCTGTAAAAGTACTGCATTATTTCTGAAGATGTCTCATCTGTTTTCGCTGGGTTTCTGAACCTCATCTCTGAGAGCAGTGGAGCGGCTGGTGGCTCGGGAGGGATGTGTGTGTGCAGGTGCTGTACCGCCTCAGTGGAGGAAGGAAGCATCCCCTGAGCGGTGGTACAGAGAGAGATTTCTCTGAAATCTGCAGTTCCTCATGCTGTTGTGGGACTGACACGAAGACAGTTCCTATTTGGCATGTACGTAAATTGAAACTCACCACAGGCAATAAAAATAGCAGCTTTTCTTTGGGAATTAGAGATAGCTTCATCATTTACGTTCTGCTGAGCAACACAGAACTGGGTATTACCTAAATGAGCGTGGAAGTAAATTTTGTTCTAGCTACCTGAGATTTATACCACATTTTTCCTCTTCGTTATGTGAAATTAGATGGTCACAGAAGCTTTGGTTTAACGAGCCGAGAGGTTGGCATGGTGTATCACAACTGGGGATATCCCAGTGACAGGCACTGGCTGATCTGCTCTGAGGATGGTTACGCGGGAAACACCGTTCTATAAATTCTCTGTGTAGCTTTAGTGAAGTTGTTGGGTTAACAGAAGTTAAATGTGGTATAAATATTTATTTATATAGAAAATAGCCCCATATGTATGCACATATCCTGTACGCACATGTACCATGTCCATGCATGTAGATATTAGAAGGATGTACTTGATTTTGCGTCACAGATTATTGTGAATCGGTTTTTATAATCGAGAAAAGAAAAAAAGAAGGCAAATTTAAAATACTCTTAATTCCATTATGTTGCTAGCTAATGTTTTAGCTGCCGTGGATGCAGTTCCGTTTCAGTTTGTGTGTTAGCTCTGACAAGCTGGACTCTGATCACTGAAAACCATTCCAATTTGGATAACAATTCTGTTTAAATTTAGCACTTCACACTATAAAACATGTTAAGCTTCTGGAAACACTTGATCTGATAACACAGGTTTTGTAACACAGGCTGAAATTAGTTGAAGTTCGTGCTGTGTTTGTGCCTCCCTGTAGTCTTAAGCTGCTGTTGTCAAAGACGTGAGAGGAAACCTGCAGAATTCTGTGTCCTCATTAATTTATTTTACTGGGTATTCAGTGGCCCGTTCAGCATTCAGTTAAAACCAGTAATACAGCATTTTCTGGTCATTAAGTTGTTAAGAAGCTCACGCCCTTTTCCTACTGACACTTCATTTTGTCCTTTTTAAAAAACTCCTTGCACCTCTACTGCCCAGCCAAGAAATATTTTTTTCTCTTGAGTTTACAGGAAATTTCCCAGTGGCAGAACTGTTCTTTCCCTGAACTGGGTTGATTGTGCAGCCTTTTATGGTCCAAACATTATTCAGATAAAGCACTGTACATTCTCTCTGCTTTTGCCAAAAATGGAAAAAAACAAAAAATCCCCCACCAAACCTCGACAACCCAAACCAAAAGCCTCATTCCTGTCCTGTCCCAGCTCGTGGAGTGACCCTGGGGCTGTTTTAGCCAGTGCTTATTTTGGCCGCTGACAGAATGTGTATAGGACAAAAAAGCTGTCATAAAGAAATGATGGAGACAAATGTGTCGACATCTCACGCTTTTGTTTTGGGCAGATCTGTGAGAGAGTTGTATGTCCTTTCTTTAATTGAAATGTTTTGATTTTTTTTTTTCAAATATATGTGCGTGTTTTATTTTGCTTAATTTAAATGAAGTCTTGTGGTTTTTAATTTTATGTGTTTTACTTTTTGGGCGAAGGGCATCTGGTGAACTGGGTGACATTCTCAAGGTTAAACAGATTTTCCCAAGGTGTGTCTTTTTTTAACAAAAGCTTAAATCTGTATAAATTGATTTAGGAATTAATTTAGACGTATAGGCTGCCATTTGTGACAGCAGTATATTCTGAAATGTCTCATAGATATCTATTTTTGAATAAAGAGGGTGTCGTTGAATAGTAGTGGTTTTACTTTTTTTTTCCTGATGTTTCTCTGGCACACGACAGGTTTTGTTTTGGGTTTTTTGCCCTTGAAAATCGGAGGCAGTGACTGCTGAGTGGTCCTTGCATTAGAGTTGAATTTGTCAGATTAGCAGTCATGCTTTCCGACAGCTTGTAAGCCAGATCAATACGCAGCTTTCTTGGGTCATTACTGCAGTGAGCAAAAATAAAATGTGCTTCCCTGCGCTAACCTGTGGTTTGAGGGGCACAAGGTACAGAAGACTAGCTGGGTAAGTGCAGGACATGTAAATAATTACTCTTAAAAAAAAAAAAAAAAAAAGAAACAGAAGCCAAACCTGGCAGCCAGGAGGCTGGCTTTCCTGGATGAGCTCCAGAGCTGCTGCTGGAGCAGGAGGGGCGACGCTGTGCAGTCGAAGCCTTTCTGGGGGGGGTCTGCAGGGCTGGCGGGGTGTGAATGCTCTTAGGGGGTGGGGGGTGCAGGGGTTCTCTGCTCCAATTCCACTCTGCAGTGGTCTCTGGGCAAACTTCGTAACTGGTTCATGCACCTCGGAGAGTGTCTGTGAAGCTGCTCACAGTTTTGTACCGATTTCCACATCTGCCGTTAAAGAGACGATATTTAGTGCTGCTCTCATACAAGGCTCGCAGAAGTGTGATGTGCAGCTTAGCAGAGTCTGATGTGGTTCCTTCCAGGGAAGAGCCCCCTTTGTGTCCCATTTGTAAGAACTAGAGTGAAGTTCTCAAGACATAAAATGTGTCTAGGTACTCGATGTCCTTTCTTGCCTTTGAGAATTTTTTTTTTTTTCTTCAGAACTGAAACAACTGCCTCCACAATAAGTCTGTTTTGCAGCCTGCTGTGTGGTTAACCGCTTCAGTGCACCGCTGCGTGCTCCCTTCGCTCCGGTGCGTGCCAGGGATTGCTGTGCGGAGAATGGAGGTTGGCTAAAGCAGGTGAGGACTGCATCCTTAGGTTAACTTAGGTTAACTAAACCTTAACCCTGCGAGATCCCAGGTGACAATGGTGCTGAGGAAGCGAGGCTGGCGTGGCCTCGGGGTGGTGGAGGTTTCTGCAGAGGGGTGAGCAGTTGTGCTCCCAGCGCCCAACATCTCTCCCCAGAGCAGGATTGCTGTGGGCTTAGTCCAGGTATTTTCTCAGGCCAAGCGCTGATGTGTTCCTGGGTCAGTTCTAAGCTTTTTGTACATTTAAGATTAGATAGAAAAAGTATAAAATGCACCTTGTGCCACCTGAAGAAAAAAAAGACCTTGTAAAACGTGAAAGAAGCGTTGCTGTAGGTGCTGCGATGGGCTGTGAGTGGAGCGAGATGGGGACCCATGTCTGCAGGGATTTAGGAAAGCACTGCCGACACCAGCTGCCTTTTTCCTGTGTGAGCTCTGCTGAGGTTGGGAAGGTTGGGGTCCACCCAGTTTCTGAGGGCTGTCTGTATTTTGGAGATTTTTGGATGAACAAGCAAGGAAAAGGAGCCCAAACTGGGGAGCTCTGGAAGCCTCAGAGGTTCGGTGTTGCAGCAATGCAAAGATAAAGGATTCTGCATTAGCACTGAAAGTATTATTTTGTACCCTCTTAGAAAGTGAATTCTGCTCTCCATAGCCAAGTAAAATGAAGTTTGACTGTGGTTTGTAAAGTAGGATAAAAACAGTCCTGTTAAAATAGGGCAAAGAAAGAGTCTGGGATGGAGAGCTCAGCAGTCCAGGAGGTGCCGGGATGGAGAGCTCAGCGGTACAGAAGGTGTTAGGGTACAGGCGAAGGATGGCAGCCGAGGCGGGAGGTGGGCTTCACCCGGGGACAGAGGGGCAGCACCAAGAACCTGCCCCGATCCCGCGCCTGGCATCCCCTCATTCTTGCTGTCGATCTGCCCAGCTTCTGCCGCATGGTTCCAGGGAGATGATGGGACATCTGCCACCCTGATTGCCTCAGCAGATGACGGTCGAAGCTGCTGCACTCGTCAAATATGTTTTTTGAGATGTTTGGGCGCTGTCCAGGGAGCGGAGGCTGCTGCGTGTCAGTCCAGGACATGCGTTTGTGTTCTCCCTGCGCTGGCCTCGTGTACTTTCTGCTGCAGGGTTAACGATGAAACATTTTTCTTCACCTAAAGTGGTGTAAGTGTCTTTTCACAGTTGTTCTGGTGCTCTGGGGCGAGGGAAGCTCAGGATCTGACCTGGGAGGTGGAGCAGCTTCTTTCTGGGAGGCGATGAGTGAGTGGCCGAAAGCGCCCAGCCGGCTCTCCCCAGTCTCCATACTGGTTTGTCTGTGTGCGTCCCTCCAGGCAGGATGAGGAGAACTGGGACTGAAACCCCGGGGCTGGGCTGGAGGCTGTTCCGTCTGGGGCTGCGTGAGGGGCTCAGGCAGGCAGGGGAGGGCTGTTTGAGCTGTGACTCTACCGATGGCCGCGCTGGAAAAACCATTTCTGGGGTTTGTCTCGTGCACCTCCCGTGGCCTCGGAAAGGGGGACGGCTTCCCGCGGGAGCTCTGCCCAGCCGGGCTTTTGGTGTGCTTTTCTCTTGCTATTTGCCGGTGCCTCAGGGTCCCGTTGGTTGGGTGAGAGTGAAATCGCATCCGTTTTTGCGGAGAGGGAGGGGGGGTTCGGCGGCGGCAGGATTGGAACATCCCCTGGAGTTGTGCCCGTGCGTGCCCTGATTTACGCTCGTTTGTTCTGGTCTCAACCCACCAGTAAAGGAAGTTAAAGGTCCTCGGGTCTGAAATGAGTTTGCAGCCGCTTCCTGGCACATCAGCGGAGGTGTGTCCGTGACCTCTTCCCTGCACGCAGCCAGCCTCGCGTCGCTCTGCCTCTGGGGCTCGTGCTGAGGTGCTGATCCTCCTGTGCGATGGCTGCTGTAAAGGTTTAATTTGTGATTTGTCACTTTCATGGCAGGAGTGCCAGAGAGTCTTGTGGGTGTTGCATGGTGCAGCGCTGGGGACCGAGGGACACTGTCCCCAGGCTGTGGCAGCGACGGTGCGGCTGCAGGACCGGCCACACTGTTCTCGTGGGGCAAACACCCGCGGGCTTGGCGGAGGTGCCGTAAGAACTCATCGGGCTCCGCAAACAGTCTG